AAATATTCTGACATTCCAAAAACATGCTTTCCATATACTTCATAATTCAGTGAAACTAAATCAGTATAACCCTCAGCAAAAAAAAAAAATGCACAAAACAGCAGTCAAAATGTTCAAAGGAATGTGAGTTGCTGGAAACTAATCAAAAGCATGAGAAAGGTTTTAAAAAAAGTTGTCTCTAAAAGTGAAAATCAGTAAAAAATGGACTCTCCTACCCTAAAGCCTCAACATCCTACAAACATCTCTTATTTAAAAAAAATTGCCTACCATTTGAAAGTATTAAGATGTGGTTCAAAAAGGGCCAATGATATAAATTCATGAGAGTAATAATTTTACTCACATAAGGAAAATAAGGCTTGGACACTAAGGTCTCCTGTAAAAAACATCTGGTTAAGCTGGTATTCTTAAATACTCAAAATGATGTGGGTTTATATATTTAAATAGCTTTAAGAAATGTACACAGATGTATAAAACCTTAGGATATACATTTATATATGTAATTGTGAAAATGCAAACAGCTTATATATATGGCTTATATCCACTGCACCACAGATTGTCTAAATAAGAAAATTTCTACATGACAGTATGGAAGTCAAAGATAGTTGCCATTTTCTATACTTTCCCAAGTAAAAAGTCAGGATTTTCCTCTAGTACAAATGATCTAATGAGAACTACTAACAAATGCTTGCATTTTTAAAATGATATATTTGTCTACAGAGTATATCACCATAGTTGAATACAATCAGAATGATGAACCAGTTTGGAATTATAAAATGACCATACTTAATTCTGGATACTAGTTTTGAAGGTAGTACTAGAGTTTTGAACTCAGGGCCTTGTGCTTAACTTGGCAGTCAGTGTACCATTGAGCCACACCTTCAACCCTTTTGGCTTCTGTTATTTTTCAAATAGAGTCTCACTTTTTTGTCCTGGTCAGTTTGGACTGCAATTCTCTTAGTTGGGCTTCCCACATAGCTGGGAAAACAAAGATGTATCAGTATATCCAGGTTTTTATTGGTTGAGATCAGGTCTCTTGAATTTTTTGCCTAGTCTGGTGCAGACTTTCTTGATCTCAGCCCCTGCTTACAGATTTGAAATACTTTATCCTCTTGTAAGCTTATCTTGATTGTTGACGGGACTGAGAGATGGCTAGGAAACTAGTAAAGCGTAACTGTGCCTGTGAGCTTATTTCCAGAGATACTTAGATCCTGAGGGCTCTGGCCTTAATGAATGGTCTAATCCACTAATGGATTCAAAATCTGGACAATTGGGACTCCGTGGAAGGTAGAGACTAATTAAAGGAAGAAGGTCTCTAGGGGCACATCTTTGAAAAGTGTTAAGTGGCTCTGGACTCTTGCTGTTACTTCCATGTGTTCCAGCCACAATTTTTCCTTCACCATGCTTTCCTCCATAGTTTTTAATCTACCATGCCGCAGGCCTAAAGCAATGGAGCCAACCGGCCATGGACTGAAATCTCTGGGACTATGAGCTAAAACAACATTTTTCTCCCTTAAGTTGATCTTCTCAAGTATTTGTCATAGTGACAGAAAGAACCAACATAGTAGTTGAAAAGACAAGAGTACAGGGAATAATGGCTATTGTTTTACTGAAAGGATGAAGAAAGACTGTGAAATATTAACTCTGTATAAACTAGTGCATACTATGTACAACATTTTTATAGAAAAAGAAGAACGTGGCAAATGATCAAACTGATAAAAGGTATTTATTTCTTCCACAACAAAATAAAAGGGTCAGACCTATAACCCTACCAAAGAACATGGGATCTGATTCTAATGATAATCCTTAACCATCAAGAAAAATATAAGTGTAGCCTGTTGTATGAGCCCGTTCTTTCTCTGTCATTGGGCCATACTTGATTACACAGGTCCTCACCCCATGCACTTAGGGGAGTTTGTCATACCTAGACAGTGAGTAGAAACTTAACTTTTCCCTATGTGAAAGCTCCACAACAGCAAACTTGTTGTTTGTAAGACCACTATCACTTCCTCGCTGTTTCAAACAGTACCCAGCATGAGACAGATACAACTTTTATGAAAGGAACAGCTATTTTACATAAGACCAGAAACCTAATTTGTGATCATTTCTTTTGTTATTATTTTAGATCATGAAAGAGTAATATGTATTTATACATACAAAATCTATGAAGGCTGGATAGTACATTTGGATATACAGATGCTTAAAATGCTGTTTTTAAGTGTCTGGAAAGTAGAGTATCAGACATGCACTAAACAAAGACCATACTACAGAAAGGTAAATATGTCAATAAGGATTTTTATACATTCAAATATAATCCACAGATCAAATATTGTTGAGTATCCCCTTCCAGCAAAGACAATATTAAGACTCCAGAATAATTTGAGAAGGAGATTTCCCAGGAGCCATTCAATCCAGGAAAATGCCATCAAAGTTTTGGGAAATTAACCTTACCTTTTTCAACAGCTGTAAGGAAGATACAAGCACACAGAAACACTTATATTACCTGGTGCCGAGCTCGACTTTGGTCCAGAAGCTGCCGGGACTGAAGTTTCTGTTGTTCAAGTTGCTGGAGGGCAAAATGGAGTTGGTAACTGCCTGCTGTGGGGTGATACTTGTGCTGGGGGGCCACCCCTGTAGCCTTGCTATATGCGTTGTTTTCTACTTCTCCTTCCCAGGCAAGGCCACCTGTTTGGAGGCTCCTGGAGAGAGAAAACAAACTTCTTAGAGTGGTTATATGAGCAGTCCAAAAGAAAGAAAAGAAATTTGTCAGACATTTTTCTTTAGAGAATCAGATAAAGGTTAGAATTACTTACATTATAAGTTATCCAAGTCTTCCACTGAATCTCAGTTTGGAAACTTCGGGTCTCTAAGTCTGTCCTCCCAGAGATAGAGATATCCAAATACCCAGTTAAGGCTAAATCTACAAAGTGCTTTGTGAAGTACATGAATGAAAGGGTTTTGATTCAGTACAATTTTCCCTCTGACTGGCCACATCAAGACTCCTCCAGTTAAGCAACTCATCTACATGTTTGGAGAACTATACCAAAAAGCTTAGAATATACTGGTCTTCAGTGATTACTCTGGAAATGTCTTAATATGGGCGCGGGGGGGGGGGGGGAATAGTGGGGGGGGGAGGGAGGGAGAGTGTGTACAACATATAATAGCATGCACATATAATAAATCCTTCCTAAGGCATTTCCAGAGGTATAGTGAACTGTGGCAACCACTGGTGGAATACAAAAATGCCTAAATAAATTAATGAAATATTAACACTACTCACAAGTTGAGTGTTGGATGGTAGTAAGGCAGGATTACATGGTTATGAAAGGAGAAGCCAGAAGAGCCTATTATCTCTTTTCTCACTAAAAGGGAAAAAGAAGTTGACTGAAAGTAATACATAGCAGCAGACTGAATAGCTAAAGGCACTGAATGAGCAGACACTGAATGAGCAGAAGTAGGAACAGTGGAGAGAGGTGCTCGGCTTTAAATGAAGAGAAGGTAATTGGTCCCCAATGAACTAATAACATAATGGGAGAGGATAGATGAAAAAAAATGACCTTCCCTGGCTTCATACTAACAAGGCTAGGTCCTGCTTGAATCAAAATGAAACTATTATTTATGATCACTGGATTAAAGGTTAGAAAAGTCATCCATTGTAACTGGCTTGCTGCAACCTAGATTCAGTGATTAGGTATTATATAATAGGTAGAATCTATGAGAATTCATCTCACTGGGTAGCTAGATTTGTTTTGTTTGCTAAAACTTGTTTTAATAAAACATTCATGGAGGTATTTGTTTTCACATTTTTGTGTTGCATATCAGAAATCAGTCTGAACCCCTTATCTGGGGAGGTCATGCCCAGGTTCTCAGGTATATGACACAGGCAGGGTCTAGACATGCACACAGGGTAGGGCAGTGGTCAAGAGACAATCCAATAAGGGGCTCTGGGTAAGAAAAGAAGCACGTTCTTCCAACTGCATATATATTGAGCAGAATGCAACATCATAAACTTTTATAATGAAATCTGTTTTTAATCTCATCAGTAACATAAGCTCAGCCTGCAAATCACAAAAGGAAATTTCTCAAGCAAGCAGAGGCTTTTAGCATAAAGACAGGAATTTTTATAGTACAACATTGGGCAGGGTGGGGGATGTTCAGCTGTATAATATAACAAGTGCCACGAGAAACTTGCTTGCTCTGAATGACAGTAGGGCTGTTCAGGCCATAGTGCCTCATACTAAAACACAAGCCTGTAGGGCACATTGTATGCAAGGCAACAAGGGCTGACACAGAGGAGGTTGGGTTTGCTATATGTGGGGCTTTTCTTGATTTCTCATTTCTGAGTTTATAAATCTTAGTATTTCTACAACATCTAATAGCATTCCTTTCCATTCCAAATTCTGTTTATTTTCTTGAACTTGAATTTATCCTACATACTACTACTAATATATTTTCCATCCTACCAAAACTCTGAGATTCAATCATTCACTCTAAAATTTCACGAGATTCCTTATCCAAAATGCTTGGAACTAGATAGGTTTCCACTTTTCATTTTTATTTTGGAACGTGTGTGTAAATACATATATAATTGGAGAAGGAATTCAGGTTTAAATATAAAATTTACTTATGTTTCATATATATCTTGTACTTAAAGCCTGTAGTTCAGCTGCTCAGGAGGCTGAGAAAGGGGAATTGCTCAAACCTAAGAATTTGAGGCCAGGCTGGGCAAAATAGCAAGACCCAATGCCTCTCTCCTCCTTGCCCCCCCAAAAAAAAGTAACTGGCAAGCATCAGTATGGCATATTCTCCTAAATACAACAGGCTTAGCCTATTACGAACTTCATTTTACTGTCTACATCACTATGCCATTCTCCGGGATGAAACATTTCTCTCCATAACTGCCTTTTGACTGTACAGCCCAACTTTCAACCAAACACACAGAAAGTCTCTGTTTTTGTCCTCTGGTTTATTATCTGTTCCATCAAATGGATATGGTCTTGAGGAACTTTAAGAGGAAATCTGAAAAATGCATAACAAAATCTCAGCATGCAGCTGCAGCCTCTACAAAGATATGCTTTCAGCACCAAGATTTCTGAGAGTGATGTGATGTCACAAGAGCAGAAGGTGGGGTGAGGCAGAGAACTGTGACAGTTATACATTGGTATGAGTCTACTGGCCATTTCTTCAGCTCAGTCCAATCTTTGCCACACTAGAGCTACCAGGTATAAGGATACCTTTGTCTCTCCTGATGGGGTTGATGTATGTATGTGTGGTATGTATGATGTATGTATGTGTGGCTTTTCTGACATTTAATAAGTAGAACTCAAGGATACTAAATAACTAGAAATGCCAGGAACAGTCATATACAAGAAAAATACATGCTGTGAAAATGCAGATGGTACTTTTGATGATAAGAAACACAGTGACACTTTCAGGCATATGTGGATATTTAAGGATAGCATCTCCACCACAAGCAAAGTAGCCCTGGCACTCAAACCCTACAGATGACAGGAGTCTCATGAGCAGTGGGCTACATGATTGGAGAAGCATTGTGATGTGGGGGGAATCTCCCTTGGCTTGGGGGTATTTCCAGGGACACAATTGGCATGGTTCTACAGGAAATGAGTACTGTGTGTCCTATTACAAATGCTTCCCAGAGCAGCTGGACTTTAGTCATATTCAGGGAGACCAAATGGATGAAGAGAGCATAGTTAGGAAGAGTTCTGTACAGCATGACCTTCATTCAGAGCAACTAACTTCTCTGTGTCTTTATCAAATTTTCTCAGCTGCAAAATGGAAATATAACTATCTAATATAGTTGTTTAACAACACAAGTGGAATACTGACAAACAGGGAAACAAACAGGAAGAGGAAGAAGAACGAGAAGAGGAGAGGGAGAGGGAAAAAATGGGAGAGGGAAGAGAGAGGGAGACATAAGGGTTGTCATGGAGGCTAGCAGTATTGACTAGATGGCACAAAAGGGAATTTTGAAGTGAGATGGAAATATTCTATATGTTGTATCCATGTTGAAACATGGAATTGAATGTATAAAATATATGTTCTTTGGCTCAGGTAATTATACTTCAACTTTAAAAAAGGCAATCATGAAGACATATCTCTTTCATTAAAACCTCAGCTACTATTTACTGTTCTATGTATATATTATAATGATTTTAGTTATAAAATTATTTTCCTCCTCACATGGTAAAATATATGCCTAAAGAGTTTTCAATTTCAATGCAATCCAACTCACATTTACTGGATACTGTTCCTAGGTGTTTAGGGAATACAGAGAAGAAAAACATTAAGTTCCTGCTCTTAAAAAGCTCACGATCTGGACAAGTGAAGTCAGGCACAGTAAGATTTTGGAATACATGGTATTTCTTCCTGGGTTTAAAACCCAAGAGGAACAGTGTTAGGTGAGAGTAAGGGAGAACTAGCCTATCTCATAACGATCCTGGTACTATTCTATAGGATGATATAATCTGGCATAAAGTTCTGAAGCAAGAGGAATGCAAATACAGTAATATTGATGTACATGAGCACTATAGCTGAAAGGCAGAAAGAAAGGCTGGTCTGAAGAACTAAGCCTGCCAATATATTATGACATGAAAGTCATATGTAGTCAGAAGGAAGTTCAGGAGTCATGATAGTTAAGTTTAGCATTAAAATTACACAGTGTAGGCTCTGTGAATAAAAAATACATCTGATTACAAAATGCCTTCAATGAATGACTGAAAACTACTTTGATTAGTGAAAAAATAATTTAGATACAAGTCCAATAACACTGAAACCATTTACTAAATTTTTTAATCTACATGGTAAATTATGAATTAGCTATAACTGCTGAGATGTGTTGACTTCCCAGGACACTGACAGCAAGACAAGTAAAATTAGTGCCTAACATTATTTAAGGAGAGTGAGTTTCATAGGCCTTCCAGAAGAGTTCATTTTCTTTGTAACAGGTACATTGATTCTTAGAGAATTTATCTGTTGAAATATATATTTTTTTATTTTCTGTCAGTCATGGGGCTTGAACTCTGGTCCTGAGAGCTGTCTCTCAAGCTCTTCAGTTCAAGGCTAGTGCTCTACCACTTGAGCCACAGCACCACTCCTGGTTCTCTGGTGGTTTATTGGAGATAAGAGTTTCACAGTTTTTCCTGTCCAGGCTGGCTTTGAACCACGATCCTCAGATCTCAGCCTCCTGAGTAGCTAGGATTACAGGCATGAGCCACTGGCACCTGGCTGAAATATTATTTTAAAACAATATAGCAGTATACCAATGAAACTAACTTTTAACTTTTTGCTCCTTCTACCCTTTTCTCTTTTGAACCTAAAGAGTTATGTTAAGAGGGCTCTTTTGCAGGAAAAGTTAAAGTACAAGAGTGAGCTCTGGAAATACTAAAAAGCTCAGAAATAACCTGAAAAAAATCATGAGAACTTTTGACAACCAGTATGCTCAGCTGAAAGCACAGGACTATAATATGAAATTCTAAGCGCAGGCTGAACTTCCTTCTTGAGAATGGGGTGAAACGGCTTAAAAAATATTTTGTTTATTTGATATGATGAGAGGTTCTTGGGAAAGGATTAAAGAAATAACCCAAGAAAGAAGGCAAAAAGAAGTAAGAGATTTTGAGGGCTGGAAATAAGTCAAAACCAAAGCCAGAGCTGGGTTAGCAAGAGAATTCTGAAGTAGAGG